AAAAAAAAAAAAAAAAAAAAAAAGAAAGTTACAGGCACCACTGTATTCCTTCCCCCACCATTTTGTGGTAGTAGTTTTATATTAGTGAGCCTTTAAAATATGCTGTTGACTGCTATTTTTAATCAGATGGATGCATCTAGATCCCTGTGAAGGAGTATATGACCAACCATTGTTGTATGAAATGGGGTACTTATTCTTTTATCAATTCATTACAACAGGAAGCCTTTGTTTACCAAAAGTAATTGTCTACTCAGCAGAGTTCAATTTTATTTGTTTCTATCTGCAGGTGGAACAAGAAATTAAATTATGTCATTGCTTTTTCTATAGATGGAGTTCGTGATGTCACTAAATACTACACGAGGAAATGGATTGAGGTATTAAGTAACCACGATATGTTTGTTCCACAATTCAATTCCAACTTTTCTTCCAAAGAAAAAGAGGGGGAAAAAAAAAAAGATATGAATGTTGTCATATGTGTAAATTTCTTGCCATTTCTTGTTAACCGAGGCATGTGAAAAACATAGGTTTTACCTCGAAGAGATATTATCAGAGAAGAGATATTGTCAAACTTGCTTGCAGAAAAGACAAGACAATGTCGATCAACCTTTACATCTCAATTACTGTCTGAACTTGAAGATCGGGATGAAAAAGAAAAGCAAGCAAGAGAAATAGACACCGACGCTATGGACAATTCTTCAGTTTCATTACCTGGAAGACAAAGTGGAGACAAGGAGTGGCGCAAATCAAGGTTGGAGATTGACTCTGATGAGGAGTGCTCTTTGAGTTCTTCTGCATGTCCTGTTCGTAAATGTGCGGATGAGCACGTGACAAGGATTTATGAGGGATTTCAATCTATTCTATCTCGACTTCTGGATGAAGGATTTTCCAAGTCTACAGCTATAGAAGCACTGGTATTTATTCAAGGGATTGTAACTAATCTCAAGAAATCTTCCTTTAGAACAAGAAGGGTTTTGGTAGATTCAGACTCAGATGAGATGAAAACCCTTTTGCATCGGTTGTTTCCTTCCTTGAAGTATTTTCTTGGTGCTTTGTCACTAGACAGCAATCTGGACACTGATGGGAGGGTTGACATTTGGTTGGCTAGTGAGCCTGTTTATACCTCTTTAGCATTGCCTGTTGTGCTAGATGCTCTTGAAGAAATTATACAAGATATTAACAAATGTGATAACTTTGATAGAGCCTTTCTATGTATTCCTCGTCTGAAGTTTAACAGAATGCATTCAGGCTCAGTCCTTGCAAGTGGCGAGGAACTTCCTTCTGGAATAGTAAGTTCTGTTTACCGTTGCTGATGATTTATTGGTTTAGGAAGCATGCGTCTAATAGATTTTGTTACTCTACACTTGGAAACTTGCAGGCAACGTCGGCATTTGATGGGATTCGTTCATCCAAATGGGAAGAGCCAAGTGGTGCAAAAGGTATATATTCGGCTCTCGAGCAATAAGAACAATGCACATGAAACACAAACGTAGCACAGTTTTTGTAACGGCCTAAGCCTACCACTAGCAGATATTGTCCTCTTTAGGCTTTCCTTTTCAGGCTTTCCCTCAAGGTTTTTTAAACGCGTCTACTAAGGAGAGGTTTTCACACCCTTATAAAGGGTGTTCGTTCTCCTCCCCAACCAATGTGGGATCTAACCGTTTTCCTAGGTGGTTTTTTATAATTATATATCTATTTTATAAAAAGATTGCTCATGTCTATGTTTTTAAGTTTCATTCTTTAAAACTCAACTGTCACAACTTCTTCTAGTTCGTTTTTGCGTTCATGTAGTATTCTTCTGTACTTTCTTCTTGTAGGTTGTTGGATCATATATAAGGTATTAGACAACAAGAAGGAAGAACTCGTTGCCTATGAGTTGATGTCCGCTAATGATGCGCCTGAAAGGGATCCGATGGATTGGTATTATTTTCAATGCAGTTAATCAAATATTACATTCTTTATTATAATATGCTTGCCTTATGGTTTCATTTTTTAAGTGATCTATATGAACAATTGATCAAGTTTTGTTTTTTTTTCCCTTGATTTTTGGCATTCGTTCATTAGAATTTTTATAAGCTCGCATTATTTAGATAGATTGGAGTCCCTTCCTGTAGTTAAATTTGGCACTCTTGTGGACTTGTTCTTGTTGGTCTTTATGCAGTCTTTATAGTCTTTCATATTTCTGATAAAAAAGATTAAAAAGAAAAAAAGATTGAGTTAATTGTTTGATGGTCTGTTTGAAATAGGATTATAAAAGTGGAGATAAGAGAGGAAAGAAATTTTCTAAGATTATTCTTTTTCATAGTGATCTTACTTTTGGCCATTTGTGGAGGCAGGTTGGTTGAGGGAAGTGAAGATGGGGGAAGCAGTTGGCATCTTCTGGATGAACAAACAAATCAGATGTTTGACAACCGTTTTCAACGTAGGAGTTTCTTTGTTGCCAAAACTGGTTACTTATCAAATGCTTTCAGGTAAATTCTCGGGAAAAATTCACTTTTTACTCGCTTTCTATCGATCTTCTCGATCAACAGATAAATTAGATGTTTGAGAATACTTTTGTTAATAAATTTTCAAACAAAATCAAAATAAAGGGCCGAAATTGCTCTATTCCAAGTTTAATATCTAAGTAGGTGTAAATTGATGAAATTGAAAGTATTACTTGCACTCCTCTAACTTGTAAAACATGGGTTCAGGTTTACATTCTTGACAGTTCGTGACATCGACTCGACATCAAAGTTCCAAATTGGTAGCATTGATTTGTATTCTCGCAAGTTTTAGCTCAATAAAAATGAGAGCTTCGAGATCCATATGGTTCTCTTCAAGTTGACCGAACAGAGTTCATAAGAAATCATACGTGGTCGAGATGATTTTGAAGGTTTGCTGCAGTGTGTAAAGCGGATCTTCAATAATCTAAATTGTGGATCACCAAGTATGTCTGATAGCGTTAATTCTATTTGATGAGTTAATTTATGGGTCAGAAATGAATGTAACCGAAGCAACTAATTCTATTCCCCCTCTTTAAAACAAAAATTAAGGTATCAAAATTTTGTCAAATAATCATTTAGGTTCATTTGATGTTAATAACTCAAATCCATCGCTAGCAGATATTGTCCTCTTTGGGCTTCTTCTATTGTCCTCTTTGGGCTTCTTCTTCAGATTCTCTCAAGGTTTTAAAACGTCTAATAGGGGAAGGTTTCCACACCCTTATAAAGTGTTCTTTGGGCTTCTTCTTCAGATTCTCTCAAGGTTTTAAAACGTCTAAGAGGGGAAGGTTTCCACACCCTTATAAAGTGTTCTTTGGGCTTCTTCTTCAGATTCTCTCAAGGTTTTAAAACGTCTAATAGGGGAAGGTTTCCACACCCTTATAAAGAGGGGAAGGTTTCCACACCCTTATAAAGTGTTCTTTGGGCTTCTTCTTCAGATTCTCTCAAGGTTTTAAAACGTCTAATAGGGGAAGGTTTCCACACCCTTATAAAGTGTGTTTTGTTCTCCTCCCTAACCAATGTGGGACATCACAATCCACCCCCTTCGGGGCCCAGCATTCGCTGGCACTCATTCTCCAATCAATGTGGGACCGCCACCAAATCTACCCCTTTGGGGGCCAGCGTCCTTATTGGCACATCGTCTCATGTCTACCCCCTTCGGGGAACAACCAGAAGGCTGACACATCGCCCAGTGTCTGGCTCTGATATCATTTGTAACAACCCAACAACCAGAAGGCTGACACATCGCCCAGTGTCTGGCTCTGATATCATTTGTAACAACCCAGATCCACCGCTAGCTGATATTGTCCTCTTTAGGCTTCCCCTCAAGGCTTTAAAACGTGTCTACTAAGGGAAGGTTTCCACACCTTTAAAAAGTTGTTCTCCTCTCCAACCAATGTGAGACATCACATTTGATTACGGATTGATTTTCTAAAATTGTATTTTCATCCCTTCACCATAATCTAATGTATTTTATTAAGAAAATCATCCCTTCCTATAATCCAGTGATCCTTGATAACAATATGCTCGAGAGTCTTGCAATCTATCCTGCTTCTATATTCACATATCAAAGCACTAATAACAAAATCTTATCCTTCAGATATACTATCAAACAAGCTCCACTTTTTGGATCCATTGGCAGTTTTTGAGCTTTACCCCCTTTTTCAGAGAAATTCTCACATAAGATGATGATCTTAAAGGGTCATTCATTAGTATGGTTGGATCAACCTTATTGAGAACAAATAACTCATATGTTTGAGCACCATACATAAAACCAATATGCCCTTGTGTTCTCAACCATGTCCAAGCAGAGCTAAGAGTCGGAGAATTTATCACCATCAAATTACCTAAAATAATGTGCAAAGATGTGAAATATTGAATGAACTACGCATCGCCACCAAATAAACAGATGTAACTCATCAAAATTCCAGGATATGACATCGAAATCTATTATAAGTTGGTTCTTATCTTCAAAGCAAATTGATCTTTGATATCAATTACTCACAATCTTTGATTCTTGTCTTGTTGCATTCAGTGGTCCTCGATCTTCTTCAGACCCTTCATGTCTGTTGTTTCAACCCTGCATCACAGATCAATAGTACTTTCAACATTTCGCCAAAAATAAAGAAAATTTGGAATTGAGTTGAATGCCGTTTTCCCTCTATTCCTATCCCACCATGGGTGGGATTGTGCAATATAAGTTCGGATTATAATACACGAGATGGTCGACATAGTTCATGGATGACCGTGACCGTAGTTTGTACTTTGATGCTGTCCCCTAAAGCATAATACATGCATCACTCATTGTGGAATAAAATACGAAAAACAAAATTCGAGAGTATTATCCATTATATAAGTACTACCTTTGCTGATAAGAAAATAACCTATAAAAGAAGTGATGAGATTTAAAATCTTTGTTAGCCAACATCAAGTAATGATGAAAATGGCAAAACTCTGGTATGAAATTTCCAAAGATGAACTAATCAGAGCATTGGTTAGTGGATAAAATACCTATTACTTTTTTGGAAGATGAAGGTTTAATCTTCAACCCCACATTTGTTCAAATCAAATGTCCAAGAGAGGAGCATTTTCAGATGCACACTCCCAAGTCTATACTATAATGGTCATTTCACAAAAGTAGTTTGAAGTTAGTGATAAAGACTACTGACATAAGTGATGCCTAATTGATATTTCTTTTCAAAAGATCTCGTGAGCCAAAGCTCAGGGAAAAAAAAAATACCAAGAATTCTTTCTATTAAGGGATTTATTCTACCAGCGGCTATTCTATTATGAAAGATGTGGTTCATCCCCCGCATGAAGGCATTAGTCTTGCTCTTTGCATCATAGATCTTTGTTGGTGAGAATATCTTTGCACAATTAAAATCAATCCACTTAATTTGGAAGTGCACTCATGCAATCACAGAGAAGGCACCTTTTAACAGCCTTATTAGTGTGGATCAAAATCTCTTCCTACATTGTAAATAATGTCACTCAAGGCTCTGACCGATTCCAGAATGGTATATGTCACAGAGGCGAGCAAATGATCAAGGAGTTAATTGTTGGTTGTTAGTTAGCCTCCAACTACAGCCCAAGCCCACCGCTAATAGATATTGTCCGCTTTGATCCATTACGTATCACCATCAGCCTTATGGTTTTAAAACGCATCTACTAGGGAGAGGTTTCCACACCCTTATAAAGAATGTTTCATTCTCCTCTCTAACTGACGTGAGATCTCACACAGCTGCACTTAACATCCAACAATAAGATAGTGATGCTAGCAACTGCATGTAGTTGGTAGATATGCAAAGAAGGGAGAGCTAATCTATGATGAAAGAGCTCCTAAATGCTTGGACATTTTAAAACACCATTCTGTAAGTCAATAAGGACAAGCTACCTTGAGATCCGAGACAAATGACACACCCTTCATAAACTCTCTCTCTCGCAAACCCAACATAGAAGATCCAACTGTATACGACCATCCAATCTTACCCCCTCGTCAGGGCACACAAATGCTATTATAAGATTGATTACCTATCAACCCAAATTCTACACTGAAGACTGAAGACCTTGAGAACAATTGCAAGTGGGGTGTACTCTAATCCATTTGGATGTGTGCTCATATGCAACGCTCAGTTATAGACAAAGTAATTAAATTATAAACTCGCCTTTTCTAAGCTTATAGATCGTGCAATAGAGTAATTCAGTTAAAACATAGCAAAGGAAGAAGAGAAGACAAAAATAACTCAAATGAAATATAATGTTAATTGTTAAAAAAAACTTACGTTGTTCCATACAAGGCAATCTTTTGAACTTTTGTAGTATCAGCACCAGATTGGTTGTCCTCTATAAAAATTGTCAAGCTGATAAAGATTCAAATTATTCAGAACAATCAACTGATACTTTCAATATACGATCTAATTGAAGACAAATAAAAATGACTCACCTGCGAACATTTTGAAATTTCACGTACTTTACAACTTCTGGCTTTCCCTACAAAGCATAGCAATAAAACAATGCTGTCCTAATTCCTGTGTATAGTCTCTCCTAGAGAGTTTTCCATTTTTGTGATGAGATACAGATACAAGTATGGAAAATCTACCGTAAGATTATCTGGGGAAAGTACAATCGTGTCACTTGGAGGGTAGTCATTGACGTTGCTGCAACAAACATGAAATAGACAATCCTCAGCTGATAATATTCAGAAAATACTTGCACTAAATATCAACTAAAGAACACAATTAGTTTACCCAAATCCCATATTCTCCTTGTTTGAGAAAAGCTTAACAGTCCTAGGGCCTGGAGAACAACCTCAATGTTAGAATCCTGCGATTAGTTATTAAGCAGAATAAAAGAGAGCAATCGTTCTTGGTTAGGTGATCGCAACATTCCATGGCAGTAATTTTCAATTTAATAAGAGATATTACAATGTATTTGTTTGACTAGAAAGATATAGAGGTACGAGAGAAACCAAAGGGCAGGAATGGTTAGAATTCGACATCCTCCCACAGCCAAGAACTACTAAAAAAAAAGAACTTCTCAATTGGCTGGGATTAAGAAAAGAGAAAGCCAAGAAAGCACATTTATCCACACCCAAACTCAAGCTTGTCTTTCTTTCTAACCCTGAGAAATTTTCTGTTTCTCTATTCATAGTCCATTACTCCCTCACCACAGCAAAAAACTGTAGACGCAGTAACAAGGGATTTACAAGACTAGAGCACTGGAGGGACAAAGGAAAGGGAGTGGACAACCCCAAAAAAAAAATTTAAAAAAAATCAAATAGTAAGACTTTAAAATGGAATAATCATACCCTCATTGGCCACGTTGGACATGTAAGACATGTTAAAAAAAATATGCCAATAGATTAGATGAACTATAATTATACATGAAAAGCAATACTGAAATAGAAATATCCAGAAAAAAATAAACCAATTAGAACTAATAAAAGGTGTAATAGAATACTTGCCTTCCTCTTCAGGTCCCTTGATGACCAAGGAATGCAATTTAATGACTTGGTTAAAAGGTATGTACATCAAAATCTGCTCATCCGCATCACTCTCCAAAAGCAAGCTATCATTATCCCTACAAGTCTATTTTAAGAGAAAAGTTGCTTCAAACCCTCAGTATAATAATTTCCATTGGCTGTTGGGAAGAAATTACAGGGAAAAAGAGATGCCTATTTTATCATGAAAATTTTCTTTTAGGTCAAAAATACCATTTTGACCCCAGACTTTGATACTTGTTTTATTTTGGTCTTATGTACTTTCAAATGTAAAAATGTAGTCTCCGTCTTCTAGTAATCTTAAAATTAGTCCCTATATTGTTCATGATTAACTTTCTCAAAAAAAAAAAAAAAAAAAAAAACTTGTATCTATTAGCCCTCCCTCTATAAATGTTGAAAAGATACTCACAATGTCTTTCCTCTAATAAAAATTATTATTTTACCATTCAAATTAGTAATGACTAAATTAATTCTACATTCGAAAGTATAGGAACTAAAATGGAACAAGTGTCAAATTACAAGGACCAAAAATGGTATTTTAGCCTCTTGCTTCATATGATACATCAACTTTTAATAAGCTGAATGAATACACAAAAGGAGTGGCCTAAAAAATAGACCCAAACAGATGAGCAGTCTATAAACAAAAACTTGAAACAAAATTACAGTAGGTTGGTTCAATGGTTAAGAATAAAAAGATAAAGAGAACGCCACAAGAGATTAAAATTTTCCAAACTCCAAACCTCTTCCAAGACTTCGGTACCCTCAAAATACTTTATTTCTCGCAAGCCATAGATTCAACAAAATAGTGAGAAAATTGCTTCAACTCTGAAGTTTCACGACAAGGTGACATCTCTATAGCAAATGATCTTTTTCCAGACAAAGATGAAGGCTTCTAGACAAAGTCTATGGTGTGTCTAATCTTCCCAAAGAAACCAGCCAGGTGAAAAACCTGATCTTTTTTTAGATTTTAGCCTTCAAAATCCAGAGTGAAAGAGGGGGGTGGGGAGAAGGGTAAAAAAACAAAAGATGCCAGATGGCTGAAGAACCCAACTATGCGTATTACTAAAAATGGAGATAATATTTGGATAAATCTCGACTCAATATCACAAAGATATCTTCTAAAATGAAAATGAAAATGAAAATCAAGTGGAAGGAAGTTCATTACGAATTATCAATGAATTGACCAACATCTCTTTCACAGGGTAATATTATAAAGACGAGAAGAGAATTTTGAAAGACGTTGATACCAGCCCAAAATTCTTCCCATAAACGAATGCAAGCCCTGCTCCCCACAGAGAATTTAATGTAGTTGATAAAGCTCGGTATGCAATAGAAAATGGTTTTCCAAGGACTTTTAATATGTCTTTAGTTCAGAGACCACATATGTGTCCCACCCCTGAAGTGACAGTCATGCTAACAATAATCATACGCCATAAAGAATAAGACTCTAAAAGAAAGCGGCATAGCCACTTGGCCTAAGAGAGCTAAGTTCATATTCACCAACTTCCATATACCCTTAAGAAGCACAGACATTTTAATGTGGCAAGAGTGTCCATCCGTGCCCGACAAGTGTTGGATACTTCGACACTCTAACACTTATTGAACATATATTGGACACTTGTTAGCACAATAAATGTGTTAAAAAATACGAGCGGTACAAAATCAATACACTTCCAATATTTATTAGACACATATTGAGAACTCATTAAGTATACACCATTCCCACATAAAGTCTCAAGAAGATATTAAACTCGAAAGATTTACAATTAGAAGAAAAGAGAGAAGGAAATTATATTCTGCAAGAAAGCTAGTCTAACTCAGCACCATCTTTAACTTCATTGAATCGAGAAACGAATTATTCAGCCATGTAAAGAAATTCAAAAAACTACAACGAAGTACATGCAACTGACAAACATCTCTGGTCAATATAATAACAAACAGCACCTGGCTAAGAGCATTTGTAAAAGTGTGGCTGAAATTCTGGTTAAGGCACTCGATACCAGACCAGTTAATGAAGTCGGACAGATCAACCTGGTTAAAAACGAAGCATCAGTATGAAAGAAAACTAAGCTTAAAGCAATAAAATCCTGATACTCCTGTACTCAAAACTCATTCGCTAGATTCAAGTATTAACATCATCTTTCATCATTTCTCGAAACTTAAACAAGAATTTGTGAATCAAACACCTCAAAAACCTGCATCACTCACCTGATTCCGATGAATGGCGGTTGCAGATGCGGCAGCCATGGCTAATCAAACGTGAGGAGAAGGGAGAAAAAAAAAAAAAAAAAAAAAA